GCAGCTGTTTGTGTTCAATATTTATACTATTTCCTGATAAGCTATAATGCGGAAAGTTTGCACACACATGTCTTATGGATGACAATGCAGTGTGGTGAGTGCCTTACTTTAAGTTATCAGACGATCCAGAGAACTACTACTGCAGTATCCTTCTGCAATATTTGCCATATCACCAAGAAAGTGAATTCATTGTGACCATACTAATGCACAGAAGCATTTATGACTCGAGAGTACCAAATGAGACAAATGAATGAGCACATGCAATTATTTAGAAAACATGATCAACAGCTTGAGACTGCATTTAACTAAGTTTTTGCATTTAACTAAGTTTTTGCATTTGAGATACTTAATCGTGAACTTTTTCCTCTGACAATGATGATGATGATGATGACAACGTCATACCTGATAGATCTCTGACTGTTGATCAATTTCAGCATGCACAAAGAGCAATGAATGCAGTACAACATGAGGTATTCAAGTTTGTGACTCAGAATGTTACAGCACAATTATTGACTGGGAGTACAGATAGAATGAGATTACTTATAACCTGAACTGCAGAACAGGAAAATGTTTTATGTTACACCTTCTCAAGAGTCAGATAAATTGATGTTTTGGTAAGGTTGTTACAAAGGTGTCTGCATAACTGGAGTAGCGGCAAAGTTGATTGGGGTTTCCACATTTCATAGCGCTTTGAGGTTACCAGTTCAAAAAGATGGCATACTTATACGCATGCCTCTACTGACTGGAATTTACTTACAACAATTATGGTTACAGTGGAGAGATTTGCTGTTCATTTTCATAGATGAAATATCAATAATACCATTTGATTAATTCAAGACGACAGTTGAAGGATTGTGAAGACTTTTTTGGAGGTACTATTATTTGGCAACCTAATGCAATTACCACCAGTCAAAGGACATCAAATATTGCATCAACCTCATCACTTAGCACCAGCAACACATTTATAGCAGTTGTTTTCTCTAGAATTTATAGAGAATATGTAACAACAAAGAATGATAACTTTTATTGACATTCTTATGCTCTCTGGATTAGAGAACTTAGAGCTGAACATTTTGTGAGGGAATAAAATGAGTCAATATAGAGGATGAGGGTGAGTTCTTGATAGAGACAGCTTTACGAATTTATCCTACAAATGATAAATTAGGCTGTATAAAATACAAGCTCAAGATCAGTTGGTTGATGCAACATAAAATACAAGCTCAAGATCAGTTGGTTGATGCAACATAAAATACAAGCTCAAGATCAGTTGGTTGATGCAACATAAAATACAAGCTCAAGATCAGTTGGTTGATGCAACATAAAATACAAGCTCAAGATCAGTTGGTTGATGCAACATAAAATACAAGCTCAAGATCTGTTGGTTGATGCAACATAAAATACTGATAATATTCAGCTACATGATATCATTCCAGCTGATGTTAATAAAACTGGAGCTCTCCAAAAGGGAGTTAGAAATGTTTGTTTGAGCCTTCTTCTTCTGTCATCAGCCATGCTAAACATTGAGTCCAGTCTGGGTCACAAATAGGATTGTGCGTTTAAGGTCGCCACCGGTCCCACATAGCTTCTCTTGCAATGTGGCGCCCTTGGGCCAGATCCACAGTCTTTGCTGGAAGAGGTAAGGGCAGTACTGTAGTATGTGCCCAAGGGTCTGTCTTTCTGCTCCACAATCACAGGCAGCAGATTCTTTTATGCCTATCCTGTACAGGTGTGCTCGAAGACCACAGTGTCCAGTCCAAAGTCTAAAAATTGTTGTTTGTTCTTTCCTGTTGAGTTTGTTTATGCTGTCACTCTCTGGTCTGTAATCTCCATTCTGCCTTCTCCACTCCCGCTTGAAAGACTGCTTTAGCGCTGTTCTGGTTTCCTTGTAGCTGTGTGGTGGATGAGGTTGTGGAAGATTACTCCCAGCTTTTGCCAACTCATCTGCTCTCTCATTTCCTTGAATACCACAGTGGGCTGGTATCCACTGCAAGACCAGTTCTGCTTCCTTGGAGAGTGTTTGAGAGTTTGAGCCAAGATAATGCTACGATCTAACATTGTAGTTAGCAAAAGACTTGTCAGTGGAGCTTTTGGGTATATAACAGACATCCTATGGCAACACTTTCGCCATGATTAGATGTATGACATGGATTTACTGTCTGTTCGTATAGATTTCAGTGACACCGGATCACACATTATTGAGCCAAAATCAATACAATTTCCAGCTATTTACAGCTATGGTACTGTCCCATAGTTTTATCATGGGCTAAAACAGTACACAAGATGCAAGCAGCCACTGTAGATTATGTTGTAATCTATCTAGGACACAAACTGTTTGCAGAAGATCAAGCATATGTTGCTCTTAGCAGAGTAAAATCTTTGCAAGGGCTTTTAACTGAGGAGCTGGACAACACAAAGCTGACTGGGAAAAAAAACTGTGTAACTGATGCTTTAGCAGAGATAGAGCGAATGCGAGCACAGTGTCCAAGATAGTATATACACATAGGCACCCTTGGTTCTCAGTCCCCTTCACTTTGTGGTAATTCAGTGTCTGATCCTATTTTATGGAGGTCTACATAACAAATTATATTATTCTAATCAACCTTTAATCAACACTGTCATTATAAATAAAATATAGCATATGCACAGTGGGCACCCCACGCTTTTATTAGTCATGGTATAAAATTGTAGAGGACTGTTGGTAAAGATAATTGGCTGAACTCGTTTATCCAATAAATTATAGGATAAGATATACATACAATATAAATTAGATAAAACACGCCATTGGTAATATACTATGTTCAACATACCATAGAATAAATTATTTTATATCTTTTTAGCCCACTTGTTAATTGTAAGTAATAAAAAGCTAAAAAGTATAAAAAGTTTATTTTATGTTTTTTTTATTCACTTCATAAACTAAAAAAAAATATATGTATATTTGGACTAGTATGTTTACAGGCGGTTTTGGTGAAGAAGCTGTAAAAATGAGTTGGGCGAATTTACATTACACACACTAACTGCAACACAGAAGCACACTTGGTACCAGGGAAAGCCTACACTCAATTCAGAGCAAAGAAAGACACCCTCCTTTAAACCAAGCAGACTCCCAATAACCCCGTTTCAATATATCAAAAGTTGTTATATGAATATTGGTCAAATCAGTCCTCCAAGCAATCTCACACTCTGAACAGGACAGCATTTCTGCAATTTTCTATTTGAATGTTTTTAGACTGTGACCAAATTGATTTGTTCTGTAAAATGTAGATTCAGAAATGTAACTAACTGGTGGTTTCTTATGTGATTATTCGTGCAGTTACTGATCTGTTGTAGCTGCTACTTCGATCAACGATGAACCGCCTTTCTAGTGTCAGACATTTTTTCTCTTTAAGCACTTCTGATGACAGCCTTTTGCATGTAATGTGTGTGTGTATGCCACTGGGCTTCTCAAAGCCCAACCCCTTGTTCCCATCGTGAAGTCTAGTAACAGGACAAAGTAAGGGATTGCTAGGATTAAGCCAAGTATGTTGTGGCTTTGTGCCACAGGACTGTTACGGTAGCTATGAAGGCTGATAACAGGACAAAGTAGGGGATTGCTAGGATTGGGTGAAGTATGTTGTGGCTTTGTGCTACAGGACTGTTACGGTAGCCATGAAGGCTGATAACAGGACAAAGTAGGGGATTGCTAGGATTGGGTGAAGTATGTTGTGGCTTTGTGCCACTGGACTGTTATGATAGCCATGAAGGCTGATAACAGGACAAAGTAGGGGATTGCTAGGATTGGGTGAAGTATGGAGTGGCTTTGTGCCACAGGACTGTTACGGTAGCTATGAAGGCTGATAACAGGACAAAGTAGGGGATTGCTAGTGTACTAGGGCGGAGAAGCCCTAAGTACCAAGATAAAAATAAAGGAAAATAGTTCGTTAGGTGGGGACTAGAAACAAGAATATTCTAGTCCAGACACGAGATCTTCTGTGTAAAGTCTAATAAGCCAGGTAACAAATAAACAAACTACGCACACTAGCCACAAGTACTAATCCGAATCAAAAAGCTGGGACTATCATTATCACATTCACATCTATTTATTTCACTGAACATCATCTAAGATCTTCACAAATAATAATGCATTACAATTCACAACGTGTTGGAAAATACCCTACAATAGATGGAACCTATCTTTCTGCCTACACACCTCAACCCACGTTGCGTAAAACCATTGAACGCAACAGACAAATCAGAACTACATGTTTCTCGTCCTAAAACCAGTGGCCTGAGAGAGCGAACTCAACACTCCCATCTGTTTTATTTATCACTTCCTGACCCCCAAGTTGGCCAGGTTTTTAGCTCACTTAAATAAGCCTAATTCAATTTATATAACAGTCGTCTAGCGCCTGTTTCACTAGGATTGGGTGAAGTATGTTGTGGCTTTGTGCCACAGGACTGTTACGGTAGCTATGAAGGCTGATAACAGGACAAAGTAGGGGATTGCTAGGATTGGGTGAAGTATGTTGTGGCTTTGTTACGGTAGCTATGAAGTATAGTAACAGGACAAAGTAGGGGATTGTAGGATTAAGCCAAGTATGTTGTGGCTTTGTGCCACAGGACTGTTACGGGCTGATAACAGGACAAAGTAGGGGATTGCTAGGATTGGGTGAAGTATGTTGTGGCTTTGTGCCACAGGACTGTTATGGTAGCCATGAAGTATAGTAACAGGACAAAGTAGGGGATTGCTAGGATTAAGCCAAGTATGTTGTGGCTTTGTGCCACAGGACTGTTATGTTACGGTAGCTATGAAGGCCATCCTGGGCTACCCTGAAATGTCCAGGCCAACTGGGCTCTGGTGAAGCTGCGACAGGCCTAGCAAGCTGGCAGTGGATTTACCACCACTACAACAAATACAATGAGATATAAATGAACTGTACATACAATCCCTCAGCAACTGTAGCCATGAACCCATCTTTCTGTTGACAACTGTATAAAGCATATGGCCAACATGTACTTACCTGACATAGTTAAAGTAACATATGCTTCTCATATCCTCTGGTAAAGTCTCGGGTGAAGGCCACTTGAAGTTGTCCAGCAGTGGAATAATATTACTACCTGCTTCAATGGCTGCTGTGATCTCCTGAAGAACACATAAGAAAGAACATAAAAAACATAATGGCTAACACTTCAACTTTTTCAGTTACTGTAGCAAGAAAAACTGCAAGTTTCAAAATAAGGAGCACTACCCCTTCTGAGGTGTAAGCCTACTAGTTAGTTTCTTTTGATAATAAAGATTGTGTGTGTGTTTCAACCAGTGTTTGGCTTGAGTGTGTTTGTCAGCAGTGTTTTTCTGTCATTAGCCTGCTGCGTAGCCAATGGAATCAAACCCTAGACATCCAGGTTCTTGACAGCTGATAAGACCAGTTGTTTTATATGGCTCTGAAACTTGGAACACACCTGAAAGAGATGAAGCCTTATTACAATTTTTTGAAAACAGTCTTTAGATGAATCTTTGGACCCATTAAAGATGCAAACAGTGGCGAATGGAGAGTGAGAAGCAAAAAAGAAAATTCATAATCTGTTTAAATCATCACTGATCACTAACATCTTGAGATGGCTGGGGCATACTGAGAGAATATTAGATGACAGAGAGTTAAAACAAGGTAAAATCTGTAAACACAAGGAAACTGGGTGGCCGCAGACCACGAGGCAGAACAAGAAGACAACGGAGAGATAATATCGAGACAGACCTACAAACACTTAGTGTCACCAATTGGAAAGAGAAGGCCAACCAGAGAGATGAATAAAGGCGGATGATATCTGCAGCAATGAACCTCAATAGCTTGAAGATAAAGAAAAAAAAGAAGCTGAAAAAAGAAGAAGAAGAAGAAGAAGAAGAAGAAGAAGAAGAAGAAGAAGAAGAAGAAGAAGAAGAAGAAGAAGAAGAAGAAGAAGAAGAAGAAGAAGAAGAAGAAGAAGAAGAAGAAGAAGAAGAAGAAGAAGAAGAAGAAGAAGAAGAAGAAGAAGAAGAAGAAGAAGAAAAAGAATAAAAAGAAAGAAGAAGAAGAAGAAAAGGAATAAGAAGAAAGAAGAAGAAGAAGAAGAAGAAGAAGAAGAAGAAGAAGAAGAAGAAGAACGGAGAAGAACGGAGAAGATAAAGGAAGGAGAAGATAAAGAAGATGATAAAGAAGAAGAAGAAGATTTTGAATAAGACAATGAAGAAGAAGCATATTGACAACAGTGCTAAGAATGCAAGAAATTGGCACATAAGATTACTAAAGTTTTGTCAAACAAGAGAGGACTCTCACTATATACCACAGGATGCTGAAAAAGAAGAACTTCTTCTTCTTCTTCTTTCAGCATAGCACTGGCATTATTAACAGCGCGACACTTGTGAATATCTTGATAGGAAAATCTGAGCACCTATGGATGTGTCTGGAGTGTTGTGATGATAATCCAACTCATAACTCAGGATGCTGACATATATATGTTTAGGGCAGAATGTGAGCAACTATGGACCTGTCAAGAACGCTATTAGAGAACCCAACGTATAACTCATATCATCTAGTTAATGAATGCAATAAATAGTAACATGTACTGACTTATAAATAACAAACATTTAAGCTGATGCTCAAAGACAATATTCTCTATACATTCGCACACTTACCCCCATTATTATCTAATATGTCACATTCTTCAATACACAGACACAGTCACATGAGGTGGTGAAGCTATTAATATTCTTTTTGTCTTATTCACAAAGTTTTATTGATAGTTTCTGGTCAGACACATGTTCATATCTCCTGCCCACTATTACAAGAATGACTCAACAAAGCTATGACACTTACCCGATGTACCCAGTCCTTCTTGTCGTCATCTCCCATACATCTGTCCAGTGAACTCTGTGTCAGTACTAGAATGAAATTTTTTGCCTGCCGCACACTTTCCAACAAACTCTCATCAAACTTTCCGGCCCTCAGTTTCTCGATGTCAATGAAGACTGTGAATCCCCTCAGTTGAAGATGAACTTTCAGCAAGCTGGAGAAACAGAAACAGAAGCTGGCTCCAGTTTGTATGTTAACTGTATTGTTTAATGTGTTTGTACTTGGGTGGGTTGACTGAGGGATACAGTCTGTGTGGGTGAAACTTTAACTCACATACCTTTCTTCTGGGTGTCTACTTCCTTGTAGCTGTGGGGGGAGGGGTGAGGGGTGGGGGGATTGGAATTGTCTGTTTTTTCTTATAATTCCAGGATGGAAAAAGTTGATAAATCCGGACAGGTCAAAGTACAGAGGCTAAGGTAAGAAAAGACAATTAAACATTAGAGAAATGCCTGGCACAAATACATGCTGTTAATCACATGCTTTGATGAAACAACAGCGTAATGCGATAAGCTCTATGCTGATAACCTCTCCGTTGACTTAGTGTGGTCTTCTATATCCCTTTTACTGAAAAAAATGAATTAGACTTATGAATCTGTTATTTAAATTATATCTAGCACTTCAAGTGCTAATTCATGTAGACCTAGTAATTAGCTAGGCTGGAGTGCTAATTCATGTAGATCTAGTAATTAGCTAGGCTGGAGTGCTAATTCATGTTGATCTAGTAATTAGCTAGGCTGGAGTACTAATTCATGTTGATCTAGTAATTAGCTAGGCTGGAGTGCTAATTCATGTTGATCTAGTAATTAGCTAGGCTGGAGTGCTAATTCATGTTGATCTAGTAATTAGCTAGGCTGGAGTGCTAATTCATGTTGATCTAGTAATTAGCTAGGCTGGAGTGCTAATTCATGTAGATCTAGTAATTAGCTAGGCTGGAGTACTAATTCATGTTGATCTAGTAATTAGCTAGGCTGGAGTACTAATTCATGTAGATCTAGTAATTAGCTAGGCTGGAGTACTAATTCATGTAGATCTAGTAATTAGCTAGGCTAACTGGAATACAAAAATAAAACAGTAACAGTTTAATGTTCATATCTTTGGGCATATTTTGCATACAGTGTTAGCCCCACATTTCCACAGATCAATCCACATAATGTGGTTGATGTGGTCAATACCACGCTGGCAAACTTTATTTCCAAGAAAATTTTCTGGAACCATTATTAGACTGGTTGAACCTGAGAGCAGAGTTCAATTTGTAAAATTCCCTTTGATAGAGATTAAAATCTATGCTAACAGAGCAAGTGAACAATGCTAACTAGAGTCATCATCATCCTGTAGCAGGTCCTTTGCAGAACGTCACTCTCATCACAGTCTGCCTGAAAGAAACTCAGTCTCTCGCCAGTTTTTTTCTGCCTCATGCACTTTCATACTTAACTCTTTGAAAATGCCAGGGGGTCTAGCATCACAGGCCCAAGGGGTAGTCAAGAAAGACGTAAAATCGGCACATTTTGCGTTCATTGGGCTTCTAGGTAAGAATCTATGAACTTATGATGACATGTTCCTTAGGACTCAAAGAGTTGAGGAGTCACTTATATCCTGTGCCCATCTTCGTGTCGGTCAGCCCCTGCCTCTCCTTCCTGGTACCATGCCTTTGCTATAATTTTTTCTGATCCGTCGGGGCACTTGATATGACCAAAATATTTCAGCTTCCGAGACAGGAGCTAACTTGAGTACTTTGATAGAAACGTTTACTATAAACAATTTCATATGGCACCTGAAGATTGTTGCTGTATCACTTTATACTTTACTGATGAAAACTGCTGAAGGAACAAATAGTTGCATCATTAGATTAGGAAAATAAGTTGGTTTGCGATAAATCTCCCCCCCCCCCCCCCCCCAACCCATTCTATTCTTGCATCTGGCAGTTGCAACACCTTTTGCCTCTATCCAATTTATTACTATAAAAAGTAGTTCACTTCTTCTTCTTTTCTTTACTTCTTGTGGCATCAGGAGCGGAAGACATCTCTAGAATGAGCCCTTCTTTTCAAATAACATCTGGTTTGAAGCAAAGCGATGCTCTGTCCTGCCTTCTTTTCAATTTGGCTCTCGAAAAAAATTACAAGCAAATTGAAAGAAGAGTATAACTACAAGAATACTCTGTTATACAGATTACATTGATATCATTTGAGAAAATGAGCTAGAGACTGTAAAAACACTGACTCTCTTAAAGCAGCAGCTCACAAAATTGGAACTACTCAAGACAGAATACATGATAATAAGACATGGAAAGGATATAAACACCGGACACATACAAGTAGAGTTGTTTTATTTGGCTCTGAACCTTATACGCACAACTAATAATGAAATCAGAGATGAAGCCCTATTTCAAACGATCTTGTGGACCCATCAAAGATGCAAACAGCAATGAATGGAGAGTGAGAAGCAACAATGAAATTCATCATCTGTTTAAATCACCACTGACCACTGGCACCTTGAGGGCTATGGCTGGGGCATACTGAGAGAATGTTAGATGACAGAGAGGTAAAAACTGTATACACAAGGAAGCTGAATGGTCCCAGGCAGACCAAGAAGGCAATGAAAAGATAATGTCAGGACAGATCTACAAACACTTGGTTTCACCAACTGGAAAGAGAAGTGAATGCAGGGGGTAATAACTTCATGGGCTTGGAAGGCTGAAGAAGAAGAAGAACATGAACGTTCATGAAAATATCAGATGTTAGGATTGAGGGAAGAGACATCTTTAATGTCTTCTCCTGACTAGATCACTGAAGGAAAACAGGGAAACTGTTAGTAAGAATAGAATGAGTAAGACATCACAATCCTCATATAAATTAGACTACTTCTTCAATGACTGATATTTTATTTGCATCTATTTCTGTTTGCGACATGAACAGAATGGTGCACCCAAGCACTTATGTTCACAAGATTTCCTGTAGGACTGCTCCTGCAGAGACATATGACCCTCCTAGTTTATTGATTAACATGTTCACAATTGTAGTTTGGTTGATTTTAGAGATAAATGAAACTCCCAAACTATTAATTAGCAAGTTTGCAACCATAGTATGATTGTCTTTAGAGACACATTTGACTCCCAGTCTATTGATTTACAAGTTTACAACTATAGATTAATTGTCTTTACTGACTTATGACTCCTAGTCTATTTGCTAGTAGCTTTATAGTAGTTTAACCGACTTTCTAAGAGATGCTATTTGTTAATGTGATGGTAAAAATAGTGTACGAGGAAGATTTTGCATTCAAAAAGTAGTCTAAATGTGTATGTAAGGAATGCATGTAAGGAAAATTAAATAGTAAATAAAATACTGCTAAAAATTGTATTAAAAAGGTGTTAACAAGATAAGATAAAGAACAAGGAAGGTTTATGAAACTTTCAAAACATTAGATTTCTATAGCAACAATCTGTTAATCATCTATTAAAGGTAGCAAAGCTGCTCTAGGTTTCCAAAGGTCATTTGCATGCAGAATAGGATTAGAGTTGGAAAGCTTTTACTGCACAAGGAAATTACAGTCAAAATGCTGACCTGCAGTTAAAACATGCTATGGCACAGTCAAAATGCTGACCTGCAGTTAAAACATGCTATGGCACAGTCAGTTTGCCAACCTTGAATGAAAGGAGGCAGCCAGCATTTAGAATAAGCCAGGTTCTCAAATCAGGTATAGTTCAGCGCATGGGCCATGTTAATGAAACAAGAAACATGATAAAACACAATCCTGCAAGCTATTCCCATCACAATATCATGTGACAGTGAAGCAAAAGTGATGCAGCACAAACCACTTGAGATGGTTTCCATGAAATTAAACTACTGAGCTTCTCTAGGGGCTGTGTGGCTGTTGGTCGACTTCTGTGTTTTCTGCTAGAAAACATGTCTTTTATTTTGGCTTTTAAAAACCACTGTGATATTTAATATGGCCAAAGTATTCCCATTTCTGAAACACAGTCCTGCTAATGAGTTAGTTTTCCCAATTTAAAATGTCATCATCATATTCCTTCATCTTGTTTTGTGGTATTCTAACATTTGTGCTGGGTTGTGAGCAAAACTGAAAGAAGCTTGTGAGCAGAAACTATCATGTTGTCCTGGGCTGTCTGAACTACTTATTCCAGCAGACATGAAAATCACCTAATCAAAGATTGCGTAATTCTGACAGTCCTATGTAACAGAAAGTATACATAGATTTTCATGTTAGCAGACTATGAAAGGCTTGCAAGATCTGTGAGTCGCATGCAATCATTATCTTGTCTTGAAAGATGTGAAAAGACCAAGAGAAATCAGATAATTGTAAATAACTGCAAATAAAACAAGAGGGAGAAAAATCGACTATCAATATCAGAGAGTATTCAGTTTGTATTGTCATAGTGTTGGATTATCATCCGCTATTGTCAAACATTCAGGATAAAAAACAGACCAATGTTTGTTATCTTTCTTAGGGTAAACACCTTTGTCAAGTGACAAAGTGACTGCAGGATTTGTCTCAGTTTAAAACACAAAAATTGTGGTTAAAGTCTAATTTATGTTTATTTTAAACCCATCATAAAAAAGCCATGATAAAAAAGGCATCATAAAAAAGCCATGATAAAAAAGCCATGATAAAAAAAGCCATGATAAAAGGTATGATGTCACATAGTTGGTGCTTGCGCTTGTTGCTTGTAGCCATTTTATGTCACCTTGTTACACCTGAGGTATACTGATGTTTGAAAATATATTTTGTAAAGAACGATTTTGTTTTGTTATTTGCATTTTTGCAAAAGTTGTCTCCACTGTCTTGCATTACTGCTACAAACAGTTTTTAAAAACCTCCTGCCCACAAAGTGTCTAATTATTCATATACTTGGAATATAAAGTTTGTTGTTCCATGCATTGATTTTGACTTGGTATATGATAAAGGTGCCATATTTGGTAAGACTTTTTGTTATTTCATAGATGATGTGATCTATATCACTCTGTCTCTTGTTTCTTCCCAGAAGTCATCCATCTTGGATTGCATCACCCTAGGAACACAAGACCACTAGGCAAGCATGTTAGACATGCACTATTTTGACTCCCCAGGATATTCTAGATGCAGATATTTTTATAATTTAACTTGGAATTTAGTACTAGGAATAAATATTTACATACACGA